CAATTTAGCAAGCTTCAAATATGAGACCATTCCATATGCAATCCCTTATGTCTCATTAATTAATTCTTACAAGCTTGCTTTCACATAGTATATGGAAATCCCACAATAAATAAGCCTTTGCATGAATTCCATTTGTATTGTTGTCTTGTGCTTGAACTAGATTGTTTATACAACAACACATCATTTTGGCTTTCATTAAGTACCTGTGAGATAACCTATTACCTGTCCACACTTAGCAAACGGGTTAGACCTTTAATCACGTTGTCATTCAATCATCCAAAACCCACTAAAGGGCTAGATGCACTTTCACCCCACCCCGCCTTGAATTGCGTTACGAAGTGCTCCAATTTGTAGTCCCCCCCGTGCCATTAAGGCCAGGACAGGCCACGGCCGAGGGCAGCCACCCACCGCTCCACCCCTTGTCAATCCATCTACACCACGAACTCCGCCTCCACCTCCACTTCACCTGGGGCACCTCACTTGCACCTCTACCGCCTCTCCATAGCCACTGGCGTGCCGTGCCATCTCGGAGCGCCGCCGCATCCCACCACCCGCACGTGGCCAGCCCTGTTCGGGGAACATCCGGTCAAACCACCACCGCAGCTACAACTAGGGTAAGATAGTGATGCTATAGCGCTAGCTAGTTCACCCCGCGGTGGCTTAGGGTGGCCGGCATGGCCGCGCCGCTATCGCGCATGGCCGTACGCCGTGGTCACCACTTCCGCGAGCTGAGCCGCTCCTGTAACCTAGGCTAGTGTAGGCACTAGGGTTGTAGACGGGGGTCGGCCCGTTAGTGGAGCCAGCGCGGGTCCTAGCTGGCCGACGTGGCCGTTCAATGCCATCGCTGCCAAGTCGGCGCGCGCGCGGGTGGCCGGAGGACCGGACTGTTGTAAAGGAGAGAAAGGGGAAGGGCTTATTTGTATAGGAGCATTATGTAGGAATAGTGTTGCGGACCTCAGGTTGAATTGTCGGTAGCTCAGTGGTGTTTTTGAATATGTGCCAGCGCGTGCGGGCTCCCCGCCGTGGGCTGCCTCTGTGCGTGGGCCACGCCTCGCTTGTGGGCCGCCGCGCGTTCGCGCGCACGCATGGGCCCCGTGGGCCAAATTGAGTTTATTTTTTCATGAAAAATATAAATAGCTTTCCATTTGTAATTCTGAGCCGAACTTTGGTAAATCGTATAAAATCATGTAGGTATCAAAAATTGTGAAACCAATTTTGTTAGGTTCCTAAAATTGTGCTCTATCTGTTAGTGTATTTAGTTCATATATATATATTTGTTGATACCAGTGGCTATTAAATCATTTGTGAGTGTTTAGTATTATTTAGGTTAGTATTTGGCTTTGACCATGAATTTTTTTCAGTAGATTCATTGCATTATTATGTGCTTACTGTAATTTTTGTAGCCTTAGAATCGGTGGAGAAATATGATAGCTAAGTACTCTTTGTTGTAGTATAAAGGAAATCGTTAATAAGAGTAAGAATATATTTTAGTTGCTAAGTAGCACTTGTAGGTGAAACCCTGCTGGTTTGATGGGAATGATGATTAGCTTGGTATCTTAGTCATTAGAGCTAGCTTAGTGGCTTAATAGATGTATTTTTATTTTAAGAATTGTTGTTGCCTTAATATTGAGCGTTGCATCGTCATTCCATGCACGTAGAAAGCGAGTTGGTGGAGTTCATGACCGAGGGCGAGCAAGAGTACGAAAGAGGTGATTGAAGAGTACAAGGAGGAGGTCCTCGTGCAGGAAGAGGTCCTGAGCCGCCACTTGATCGATGGCCGAGTGACACGCACCGCTTTGGCAAGCAAGCAAGCCCGGTGCATAACTCTTATTTTGATTAAGCACTAAATATATATATATATATATGATGTGCATTTACGCGTTACGGCATTTTATGAAACCACCGCATAAATATATCTCATCCTATGAAGTCCTAGCATAGGTCGAGTAGCTGCTATGCTTAGGCTATCGATAGGGTGAGTAATCGCCGTTACTCACAATTGGTGATTATTATTATCACTCATGATAAAATGGTGAAAGAAAATGGAGACCGGCGGGGATATGGTATGGGTATTGGTGGGTGTAAGATGTTGTGTCCTGCGCGGTCAACGTGGCATAGCTTGGTTACACTTTTTTCCCCTCTGCTCGTGTCGGTTAAGGACGAAGCGTTGCATTAGATTCTAGTCAGGTCATAGACTTATTATCCTAAGCATATACTTGTTTATGGGAGCAGGAAGGCTCGTTGCTCTCTTGTCGTGGGTTCCGGCTTTTTTCGGACCAACTGATTAGAGGCGGGATGGTGGAGGTCTAAGCACCACACTGAGTTCGGGACTCAAGTGTGGGGGCTTGGAGTCCAAGTTTGGATAGGGACCTGGACCCCTTGACAGGAGAGTGATGGGTTGGTCCTGCTTGTGCCTGGGGTACAAGTGGGGCGTGTGTTTCGGGGTACCTAGCTAGGCACATTGATTCACGAATCGCCGGGTAATCCTGTACGACTTCTCTATAATCTAGCACCGTAGTAAGAACTGAAAGATGAAAGATGGTAAAATAGATCTGTTTGCTTAACTCTTGCTTGAAAGTAGAACATGTGATTACCTAGAATGGTTAGATAATGAACTAATCATGACTGCTAATAAGAAACATACATAATGATTCACTTCTAGTATTGCTTTCCGTAAAAAGGAAACCCAGCAAACCATAAAGCTTATCATATCATTTGAAGTCGGAAAATTATTCCCACTAGTCGGGTAAGTCTTGCGAGTACATTGTGTACTCAGGGTTTATTTACCCTATTGCAGGTGCATCTTGAAGGGTAGCTGTTGTGTGGATGATTCTTCTGGTGGGCACAAACGGATCCTTGTATTCTACCGTTAGATGTTTATTGTAATTCCGCTGTTTAAATTCCGCACTCTGAACTTGGTACTGTAATAATGTATTTCTAAGAACTCTGGTTGTATGAAATGGATTAAGCATTGTAAACTCGTTCTCATTATTGGATCCTGGAGGAAAAACGTGGATTATTCGAGGTCTCCCTTAGGGTGTGCTCGACAAAATCCGTCCGATGTAGCTTGCTTTCGGGGTGCTTAGTGTCTGGTGAAAGACGAGTGCCTCTGAAGGTGTGTTATTTCGAGCGGTTCTGCCACAGACAACGCAAAGGACAAGTGGGGGCGGAGGCGACGACACGCAGAGGGCATTGTGGGGCGCGGCAACAGTGCGTAGAGGACTGGAGCATACGCATTTTAGGATAGAGCGTCTAGGCGCGAATCTCGGCGACAAAGTGGAGCTCGCTGGTGACGCGAAGCTCTACAACGTGTAGAAGGTGTCGCACGAAGCTAGGCAATGATGCGCAGAGAGCAGGATGGGACACGACGACGACACAGAGAACGGGAGGGAAAGGGCGGCGACGGCGCGCAGAAGGCGGGGTGGGCGTGTGGCGACGACGCAGAGGACGGGTGGGGCGGCGGCGGTGAGTAGAGGATGTTGGATTCCGCACGGACGCCCTTGGGCCCACCACTGCAACATCGGTGATGTACTAATGAAACATGCTCGGATTATTATGAAACATGTGCAATATCGTTGCTACAACGCGACGTGCTACTGGAATATGGCCAGATTACTGCTGAAACATGTATCATATCATTGTTGCAACATTCGTAAACACAACACCTGCAACATGCGCCTGAAGCACCTGCAACATGCTCTTGAAACACTTGAAACATAGGCTTTCAGAGCAACATCTCCTTACAACACAACACTTGCAACATGCGTCTGAAGCACCTGCAACATGCGCTCAAAACACCTTAAACATTCGAAACATAGGTGTGCAACATAGGCTTTTTAGAGCAACATCTCCTACTTGGGCGAACGGAGTCTCATCGGCACGCAGAGCTCGATGGCGTTGCGTGAAGCTCGCCGGCAACGCGGATCTCAGCCACGTGGGGCTCGCCGCCAACGCGAAGCTCGACAGCGTGCAAAAGACAACGCCGCACGAGTCACACGGAGCTAGGCGACGACGCGCAAAGGACAGGGTGGGACGAGCGCGACGACGTAGAGGGTGGGTGGGGCGCGGCGACGACGCAGAGGACAGGTGGGGGCAGCGAAGCTCAGACGACATGCACATTCCGAAACAGAATGTCCATCCGTTCGGACGCTCGGGCCGTATCATTATAAAAAAAAAAGAATGAAATGACCATAATGCCCTCCTCTCTCTCTTCTCCGATTTCTTCTTCCTTATCAGCTCAGCCATTCACGCATCCTCCCAGCCCCCGGCTCCCTCGAGCCCGCGCCCTTGCCCTTGGTGGCTGCATGCTCGTGCACCCCAACGACCCCCGCGTCTTGACGGTCGTGCTCGCACCCCTACACCTAACAACCAGCCTATCATCCTCGCCAACCAAGCCCGTGCACCGTCATACCTCCCCGCGTGGGGACTGGGGGTAAATCTGACCTCCATGCATGCTGGGCCCGACCCTTTATGAGAGTAGGTTTTTACAAGTTTCGCTCGTGAAACTGTTTAAAAAATAACCATTTGACACAAAACAATAATTTCAAACAGCGGGGCAAGTGTAAGTACTAGTATGAGAAAACTGAATGGGCTAATCGTACTTGTCACCTCAAACCTAGGGCCATGGCCCTAGTAGCCCTAAACCCATATCAGCCCTGTGTGTACAAGTCTACTAATTTGATTAGCAAAAAGAACTCAATGTACCTTGACCAACGACCATTTGAACACAGGAATCTACATGACTTGATGCCACTTTTAAGCCACGTTGATTATGACGCGCGTCGATTGGGAGTTTGGGACGCTAACATAACATAACCTTTGATTTCTTCTATTTACGAAAGGCATCACGTAGTCATGCCTCGTGCCTATATACATATGTTATCCTCGATTGGGGATCAGCAAATAGTAATACTACTCCGCATTTTCAAAATGCTATGCTGCTGCTCTCAGAATAAAACTGAGGATGAGAAGAAATTTGCACAGATCGGCTGAAAACTTAATTAGATTGATACAGCACTGTCGGGATTCACACGGTTCAGACGAACAGTGCCCAGAATGTACTCGGGGAGCTCTTTCTCTTCCTTGGCCTGCAAAGATAAAGCTGTTAGAAAAAGGTGCTCCGCAAGTTCACGGGAAAGGATACAACTGTTAGCACGCTTCATGCTATTGAAATGCAGAGCAATATAGAGGTCAAACTATGGGTTCAAGAAATATTTAACAAAGTTCCTGTTGGCAAATCTCAACAAAGTAGATCTGTAGTTGTGCACGTACCATTGTGGTGGACATGAATGTCCATGTGAAAACGAGAATGCAATTAAAGTAGATGTTTTGTGAAATTATATTTATTGTAATCAAGTTAGGAATTAAAGATCCATACGGAAAATGATAAAGGCACGCAATTGCTTCAGGTCTGAGTCTGACTTGTAAAGTATTACGGAGTACCTCAATAAGAATAGCCAGATCAACAACTATGCTTGTGACATATCCCAATACTAGACCAATAATGCTCCGGGCAACAGACGATGAACCAATGTCAACATCTATCTGCAAAGTAAATTTTGTTTATAAGGCCACCTAGGATTGTTAAAATTACAGCAAACAAAACAGGTGAAAGACTTGAACAACGAAAGAAAAACAAAACAAATATCAATATTTCATATTTGTGATATATGTAAATTTTGATGTAGTTTGATATTCATCGAAATTTACTACCCGACACAGTTCTTGCCTCTGCTAAAACTGATATCTACAAATTTTAGATCAGATACACAGAAAGAGAGAGGTGAGCTATCCCTAGGGAAGGTGCTGACTTTTTTTCATAATGGATTTACCTCCAGAAAGTTATCCTGGCGAAGATAATTGCACGTTACTGCTTTTCCCAGAAGGCAAGCTTTTGTTCCTACGGCACGCTTAACCATCCAATAACCCTGATATCATTTCGTCCATGAGTTCACATGAACAAATAACCCTGATACAGTACATTAGCTAAGACATGCATACCTCAACAATGCTTGGTATAAGTTTAAATCTGGCATCTCGGTATGCATCAGTTCCAACAATGAATCTACCCAATAAAGAATCTTTGTTCACTGGTCTCTCTGCAGCGTAGTACATGACCAAGTTATAATTTGGTTTCGCTGGAACCTGCATGTTAATCCGAGTCAATAAAGACGCATATCATGTCTATCCACAGAAAAACAGGGATGGCAGGTTCATGTCTATGCACAGAAAAAAGGATGGCAGGTTCTACAATGAAATATGGCATGATAGTTTGATAAGCACAAAAGGAAGGCTATAAATTCAAACAACATAACAAACTCATAACTGCAAGTACCTGCAAATTGATAACCAATATGAAAGGAATCTTCTTTGCAGCTTCTGACTGTAATGTAAAAAGAAACAAAAATTAGGCACCCAGAAACATGCATGCAAGTCACAGAGTACAGCAAACAGACAAGTTTTTTTTTGACCCAAAATACAGCAGGGGAGACCCCCACTGTAAGAGTTTTTTATTATTTTTGAAAAAAGGAAAAAAAAACTGTACAAAGAAAGGCTAAAAGAACTAAACCACACAGTCAGCGAGAGGGCAGGAGAAACTGCACTCCAAAGAAGCAGAAAGAACTAGGTGATATAGCTAGGAAATTGGGCACTTAATTGATAAATTGGAGAGGAATTACAGTAGCTAATCCTAGCAATGGCAGCAGCAGAAGACTTAGTTTGCCCTCCCTGGGAGGCTCTGAACAAGACGACTCTTCTTCTCTGCTTGCCCTAATCCCCAGCCGCACCTGTGTTTATAACACCCACATGAGCGGCTGTGGTATTCCTATTATTCCTGCATGTTCTATTATTAGCTAGCTTGGACTAATTCTAGCCACTAGAGGCAGCCGACCCTTTCTTCTTCTTCCTATTATACTGCTGCCCAATGAAGGAGTCCACAACACTTCTACCCCCTTTCAAACAGCTCGTCCTCGAGCTGTAGGCCTGCTTGGAACTGGGGCTGAGCAATACTGAAGGTGATGAAGCACACTTGAGCAGTCAGCTGCTGGAAGAAAACAATCGTGGCGACGACGGAAGATGAGGTCTGAAATTGCACCACTGGAGTCAATTCAGCCAGCGGGGGTGTTGGCGCTGGTGTCATTGGTGGGGCCATGGTGGTTGTAGGGGAAGGAGATGCCACTGCCGTCAGGATGTGTTCGACAAAGGCAGCCAATACTGATGCGGCAGACATGTCCACAACTGATGAACATGGCGACAATGTCGGATACGGTGGCACATCTCGCAGCTGCAAGAACGGCGCTGATGCCATGGGTGTCGCCACAATAGATGGAGTTGCTGTTGGCAAGGTTGCTGATGTCGAAGACAGTGGTGGTGTGGTGCCCAAGACTGAGGAGAACACCCGCTGAGCGGACAACGAGGCCAGAGAGTTTGTTATTCCGCCAACCCTGTCCAACGGCTTCAGTCCTGGTGGTGCGGATGGCATCACTACTGATGGCGTTGCGAGGGCTCCAAGTGTTGCAGGCCTTGCCGATGAAGTGGCCAGGACCAAGCAGGATGCTCGCATCGGTGGAGCGGACATCAACGCTGGACATGCAATAGCCTGGTGCTTCTCCTTCACCATGGCTGGTGCAAATGTGACCGGAGGAGTAATCACAGGTAGGGATGCCGCTGATGGTGGAGGCGGTGGCGACGTTGTCAGTGGGGCGACAGCCATTGGGGGAGGTGGTGGGGAGGTTGTCGGTGTAGCCACAATTGTCGGTGGAGGTGAAGCTGTTGGTATTGGTGATGCTGCCAGCGGGGAAGATGTGATGGCGCTGGTATAGCAGACTGGGTCGTCGCTGGGGGGAAGAAGGCGGTGATGCCGTTGTGCCCAGGGACGGGGACGACTGGATTGGAGGAGCTGGTGACGAGTCCCGAGCCTTCATCCGATCGCTAAGTTGGAGGACCGTCTCGTAGATCCAATCGATCCCTGCAGAGATGCGATCACACCTCGCAGAGATGCCCTCAGAGATGGTGAGGAGATCGTCCATGGCTGGAAATGGTGGATGAGCAGATGTGATCTGAGGGTGGGAATTTGCGGCGGCGGAAGCAGATGTGGTCGCAAGATCAAAGGCTCTGAATACTAGATGATATAGCTAGGAAATTGGGCACTTAATTGATAAACTGGAGAGGAATTACACTAGCTAATCCTAGCAATGGCAGCAGCAGAAGAGCTAGTTCGCCCTCCCTGGGAGGCTCTGAACAAGATGACTCTTCTTTTCTGCTTGCCCTAATCCCCAGCCGCACCTGTGGTTATAACACCCACATGAGCGGCTGTGGTATTCCTATTATTCCTGCATGTTCTATTATTAGCTAGCTTGGACTAATTCTAGCCACTAGAGGCAGCCGACCCTTTCTTCTTCTTCCTATTATACTGCTGCCCAATGAAGGAGTCCACAACACTAGGAGAGGGAGTCTAAACAGAGGAGAAAAGCATGTTGTTTTTCTTCACAAAATCTAAAAGCTTGAAGTTTGGCTTCCTCGTAAAAGGAGGCTTTCCAAGAGATAAAGGAGTCGAAGATGAAGTTATTTCTCTGCTTCCAAATATGCTAGGAGGCAATGATGAAGATCTCCATGAAGAAGGGGTTTCGAAGCTGTTGCTTTGCTGGCATCATCATTTGGAAGAAATCACTTGTGAGGTTCCAATGACCCAGGAATCTCCAGCAAACCTGACTGAAAGAGCAGCTAAGAACAGGTGGAAAGTCGTCTCTTCAACATTGTTATTGCATAGGACACAATTGTAGTTGTTGCCTTCTAATCTGTGTTTTTTCCTTTTGAGAATGTTCCTTGTATTTAGCCTATCCATGAGAAGAAGACAAGCAAAAACTCTGAGTTCGTTGGAACATTTAGAGTCCCAAATCCAGATAGAAGGAGCTGGGGCTGTACATTGGATCTGCTTGTAATTACACAGCAAGAGTCCCTTGTAAAGTAGCATTAATGCTAATCAACAAGCGTTAAATAGGGTAGCACCTCAGAAAAAATATTGATTGGCACAATATTGATGAAGAGAGAGAGGATGAGAGTTTCATGGAGGTGAAATGAGCCAACGTTTCCCATGCGTTGAAAAGCAGCTGCACTCCCATCCGATCTAGTACGGCAAGCTATGGCTACTCCTCTTACGCACTCCTTCATTTATAATGTTTATTTGCCGATGTGAAATTTTAAATATAAGAGATGACCTATCTAATTGTGCTCACGTCACCGGCGACCACGGGTGTAACAATTTATTGGCCAAGAAGAATATGAAAAATCAAGACAGTCATGAAACTAATTCTCAAAGCAGCAACTGATGCCCGCCAATGCGGAATATTGGTAATATTTATCAAACAAGCTTACCTGCACAAGGCTTTTGGGATGTAAGGCAACTGAATCAAAGCGTTCATTAACCTTGAACCAATCGACCGCAAGTAGCTTTAGAAGTGGATCCCCGCCAACAACCTATTTATATGCCAAGTAAACACCACGAGATTGTCACAAATTCGCAATGAAACAAAAACACTTGTTATGTAGAACAATGTCTGTCACAAGGCAATCATTCTACTCCCTCTATCCCTGAATAAATAGATTCCTAGCATAAAAAATTGTCTACAAATAAATCAATCTCTAGGAGATTAAACATGGCCCATTTATTTTCCTCCGAGTTCCTCATATTATGCACACCCTCCCATCTCACTCTTTTCCACGAATCTAGGCTTAAGTTTCTGCAGTTGGATAGATGCAGTAAATGCTATAATTACTGTGCAACTGGAACAATCATAGATCAGTGTGCAACTATTCCAATTAATGAAGGATATTGTAGTCTTTTCTCTATCATACTAATCTTTCCTAAACTTGCTAAAAATCTATTTATTCAAGGACAGGGAGTATTTAACCTCAGGCCTTCTAGATAATATTTTCTCCAATCACAAATATAACTCCACCTAGGTTTGTCCTACGTCAAATGTTTAACTTTGACCATCAATAAAAAAAAAGGCGTACCCAGTGCAGAGAAGAGCTCTGTGCGGGGTCTGGGGAAGGATGTTAGTGGCAAGCCTTACCCTCGCACTGTGCAATGCGAGGAGACCGCGACTCAAACTCGGGACCTTCCGGTCACAGACGGTAAGACTCTACCGCTTGCACCAGGCCTGCCCTTCAAACTTTGACAATCAATATTGAAAATTTTATATAGTTTGACATTACTAGATTAATTATGAAAACTACTTTTATAACAAATAACTCTTTGCAATTAAGATAATATATTTTTGTAGATATTGTTAGTAAAAATTAAAAAAAAATACATAGGACAAACCTAGATAGGCTTATTTTTGTGATAAGAGGAAATATAAAACAAGGCAGCAGATGCATGAAGGTTCCCCATAATAGCAGCAGTGATAAATAAAGGTTCACAAATTGCAGGTAATTCGATAAGAACGAGTCGCAATGTCGCATATCCGAATTTGCATCAGTTGGACTATAAATCAGGTTTCTTTAGCTGGTCATACTTTTTAATGCTTTAGCATGCTTAGGTATACTTGTGAACCAAAGTTGTTATATTGCTGTATCTAGAGGAACTTCAGCTACCATAGAGAGTAGTGTTGTAGGCAACATTTTGAATACAGTAATGAACTTCTATTGCGATGTTCTGCGTGAACCATGATTTGGTACTTTTTTAACCTAGGAGACATAACTTTGGTATTTTTCCACTATTCATTTCATTATTTACTGCGTATGAATTGTATGCTCCCTCGTACGTCCTACCTTGGTGTAATCTGTTAAGTAAGTCTTCCCTCTGATCATAAACTTCTCCCCACCAGGTGCACTCCAAGAATTTTGATCATTTTCGCTTTTCGCTCTATGAAGGGTGCCATGGAAATGGCTGGGGTCAACAGCAACTGGACTAGAATTTGTAACCAATTCACTGGTCTCAACCAAAGCTGCAGGAAAAGTTGAACCATAATCAAATTTAATAGGAAACAAAAACAGTTGCATTAAATGACTGAAACAGAACTAAACTAAGAACATATGCAAAGTTAAGAGGGACAGAAAACAGACATTATGAACTTGATGTTAAACATGGACTCTGGAGTTGTACGTGCATGTAAAAATGTACAATTGTAGTGAATTTTATCTCCCAGTTTCTACTACATTAGTACTCCCTCCATCCCAAAATGAAAGTCATTCTATTTTTGTTCTAAGTCAAACCATCTAAGTATGACCAAATTTATAAGCAAGAGTATCAACAATTATGATACCAAATAGGCATACAATGAAAATACATTTCATGATGAATCTAATGATACTTATTTGATATAATAGATATTGGCACTCTTTTGTATTAACTTGGCCAAATATAAAATGGTTTGACTAAAGACAAAACTAGAATGACTCTCTTTGGAACAGCAGGAGTACCAAAAAGAAAATCAATGTAGCAGCATAAACAATGACCAGTATTCTCTTTTTCATCGAAATAAAAGAACTAGTAATATCTACCAATATAAAGCCCATTTGATGCATCATTCTAGTGTAGGCAAATGAAGGACAGTTAACTGTTGCCTTGCAATATTTTCCATTAGGCTTTGGTTTCACCTAGAAGTTGTGTATCCATTTTACTTGATCATCAGCAACATATCATTATTTGGTCAATCATGTTCCTTCAACACTTAGTTGCACAATATTTGTTTCATCGTCTTCATCGAATGTAGCATGTTTGCGCAGATATTCTGGATGGTTTACTTAAATTTTACTAGCTAGCTGATCATGTAGATTTCTTCTGTATGATATAATACCATCTATGCAACCTCTCTGCCTGCCTCTGTGCTTCCACTAGAAACTATTTCTGTAAATGGGCACACAATATATGTACCTTGTGCGCATCGACATACATATTTGTGTGCTTGTGCACTAATTTGCATGTCTAATTGTTTATTTTAGGGTCCGTGGAACTAAAGTTGAGTGCATTAATGTTTGTCAACATAATATTCAACGATGCCAGAAAAATTGAAAATCATATGATTAAATTTACCTTTAGTTGTCTTTAAAGTCAAACCTGCAATAGCCCATGACACATTCTTCAACTTCACTTTTCCAGCCTGCATCGATATTATAAAAAGAAACAGGTCTAAATTTCTTGTTGAACATAACAAAGCCATCTGTATTACGCATCCTAACTTCTAACTATAGTGTTCACCTTTGGACTTGTGGCATCATCATCATCATCACTATCCTCATCTTTGAAGGATTCACCTCTAGCAAGTGCATCATAAAATTCATCACCAGGTTCAGAATCTTCATGTTCACTCTGGATGATCAAAGTTTCAGATGCTTTTGACTTCACTACTGTCGAAGGCAACTCAGATGTCAAGGCTGGATTGGCTGCGAAGTACTCTCTTAGACCTGGCCATAGTAAAAAAGCAAAGCAAAAAATTCATTGTATAATAAAAATTAATTTGATATTTGCGGCCACAGAAGCAGATGTAACCAACCTGCTACTTGGCTGAGCAAAGCAAAAGGGATGCTTTTGTCAAAATTTGAGGAGTGCTTTCTCTTCCATCTGCCCCAAAAACTAAGAGAAATCTCCAACATAAGAGTAACAACACATTTTGGACTCGATGATCCTGATGTGTTCAAACTCCTTATTTCCCATGTTGATGCTGAAAGACATAGCACAGTCATTACATTCCAAGGCAATGTGGAAATCCAATGGAGAATTTTTAGTTTAGGATGTAAGAGGCAGAAACAGCTAGTACTTAATATACATCTAGGTTAAAGTGGTGTCTACCCATGTTTATTTATTTATATGCAAACCTAACACTATGTTATGTGTATGTTATGCGCGCACCCATGTTCATTTACACACTCCCTCTGGGCTCAGTTTATTAGGCGCTAGGAGTACACATAACAGAGCATGAGCAAGATTTAATTCGCGCCATGTGCCACACTGATTGGGCACATTGCATTCACTTGTGAGATTGGGTCAGACAAAACAGATTTGCTTATTGCACAGGACTTCTTGAGGCAGCACCCTTTTTTTTTTTCTCGAACATGCAAGAGAATTGCGCAACTCCGCCTATGTTGTCTCAACATAGCAGGTCCCAAACCCTGGTAAAGGAGGAGGGTTGTGATAGACGTGGCGAGCCAACGTTAAATCTAGCCATTCTAATGGAGATGAAACCTGAAAGAAAACCGTTGGGGCGTAACCCTCTTAGCGACGCGCCATATCGGAACCCGGGTATGGTGTTAAATGGGCAAGGGCCGGGTCGGCACCCCCTTAGTGACGCGCCGTGTCGCGATCTGAGCATGGTGTCAAGTGAGCAAGGATCGGGTCGTCGCTTCCTTAGTGGCGCGCTACATCGGCGCCCGGGTGTAGTGAAAAATGAGCAAGGGTCTTCACATCTGAGTCGACGGGTGCGAAGGCTAAGGAAGCTAGTCGAACCAACTAGGATCCGTTTAGGTAGTTGGAATGTAGGGTCGCTTACAGGTAAGTTAAGAGAATTAGTTGATACCACGACTAGGAGGCGTGTAAATATATTATGCGTTCAAGAGACTAAATGAAAGGGTCAGAAGGCGAAGGAGGTGGACAATACAGGTTTCAAGGTTTGGTACACAGGGACAGTCGCAAATAGAAATGGAGTAGGAGTTTTAATTGATAAGAGTCTCAAGAATGGTGTGGTGGGAGTGAGAAGGCAAGGAGATAGGATTATCTTAGTCAAGCTTGTCGTTGGTGATATGGTCTTGAACGTAATTAGTGCGTATGCCCTCCAAGTAGGCCTCGACGAGAGTGCTAAAAGGCACTTCTGGGAAGATTTAGATGGCCTGATTAGAGTTGTACCTAGTAGTAAGAAGCTTTTTATACGAGATCTTAATGGGCATGTAGGTACTACAAGCGCAGGTTTCGAGGCAGTTCATGAAGGTTTTGGGTATGGTAGTAGGAATCAGGAGGGGGAGAAAGTTCTGGACTTCGCGGTAGCTTTTGACCTGATGATAGCCAACACTTTCTTTAGAAAGAGAGAATCTCATCTAGTGACCTTCAGTAGCGGACAACACTCTAGCCAGATTGACTTTGTCCTCGCAAGAAGAAAGGACAAACGAGCATGCTTGGGTTGCAAGGTGATACCAGGGGAGTGTGTTGTTTCTCAACATAAGCTTTTGGTGACAGACTTTCATTTTCAGGTGCGTGCCCGTAGGGATAAATAAGCTAAGATTGAAAGAACAAAGTGGTGGAAACTGAAAGGAGAGACGTCAGAGGTATTTAGGGAAAGGGTTATTAAAGAGAGCTCTTGGAAGGAAGAAGAGGACAAAAACAACATGTGGGAGAAGATGACAACCAATATTCGGAAGGTGGCCTCAGAGGTGTGTGGAGTAACTAAAGGAAGTGGAGGCGAGGCTAAAGATACTTGGTGGTGGAACGAGGAAGTCCAAAGGGCTATTAAAGAGAAGAAAGAATGCTATAGACGCTTGTAACATGACAGGAGTGTGGACAACATAGAGAAGTACAAGGTGGCAAAGAAGACTGCAAAGCGAGCTGTAAGTGTGGCAAAGGGTAGAGCGTACGAGGATCTTTACCAACATTTGAGTACGAAGGAAGGAGAGGACATTTATAGGATGGCTAGGGTTCGTGAGAGAAAGATAAGGGACTTCATCCAAGTTAAGTGCATTAAGGATGAAAGGGAACATCTCTTGGTGAAGGAGGATGAGATCCGACATCAATGGCAAGAGTATTTTGACAAATTGTTCAATGGTGAGAATACGGACACAACCTTTTAGTTGGATGACTCTTTTGATGACACCAATATGCGCTTTGTGTGGAGAATCCAAGAATCTGAGGTCAGAGAGGCGTTGAAAAGGATGAAAGGAGGTAAGGCGATGGGACAAGATGGTATCCCAATCGAGATGCGGAGATGCCTCGGGGACATAGCTATAGTATGGCTAACCAAGCTGTTCAACCATATTTTTCGATCGAACAAGATGCCTGACGAGTGGAGGAGAAGTATATTGGTACCGATCTACAAGAATAAAGGGGATATTCAAAGTTGTACTAATTACCGGGGAATTAAGTTGATGAGCCATACTATGAAACTATGGGAGAGAGTTATCGAGCATCGCTTGAGAACAATAACGCGTTTCTCTATGAACCAATTTGGTTTCATGCCCGGAAGGTCAACCATGAAAGCCATTTTCTTAATAAGACAAGTTATGGAGTGGTATAGGGAGAAGAAGAAGGACCTACACATGGTTTTTATTGACTTGGAGAAGGCTTATGACAAAATACCAAGGAATGTTATGTGGTGGGCTTTGGACAAACATAAAGTCCCAACGAAGTACATCAGGCTCATTAAGGGCATGTATAATAATGTTGTGACTAGTGTTCGAACAAGTGATGGAGACACGGATGACTTTCCGATTAGGATAGGACTACATCAAGGGTCAGCTTTGAACCCTTATCTGTTTGCCTTAGTGATGGATGAGGTCACAAGGGGCATACAAGGGAACATCTCTTGATGTATGCTTTTCGCGGATGATGTAGTGCTAGTTGATGAAAGCCGGACATGAGTGAATCAGAACTGTAGTTATGGCAGGAGACTTTAGAGTCCAAAGATTTTAGACTCAGTAGAACTAAAACTGAGTATATGAGATGTGACTTCGACACTACCACTCGGGAGAAGGAAGATATTAGTTTAGAAGGTCAAGTAGTGCCTAGGAAGAATATCTTTCGATATTTAGGATCAATGCTACAGAGAGACGGGGATATTGATGAAGATGTTAGCCATACAATCAAAGCAGGATGGATGAAGTGGCGCCAAACATCTGGTGTCCTATGTGACAAAAGGATGTCACAGAAGCTAAAAGGCAAGTTTTATAGGACGGTGATTAGACCTGCTATGTTGTATGGTGCAGAATGTTGGCCTACGAAAAAACGACATGTTCAACAGATAAGTGTCGCGGAAATGCGTATGTTGCGTTGGATTTGCGGTCATACAAGAAGGGATCGAGTTCGGAATGATGATATACGTGATAGATTAGGGGTAGCACCAATTGAAGAAAAACTTGTCCAACACCGGTTGAGATGGTTTGGACATGTCCAACGGAGACCTCCAGATGTACCGGTGCGTAGTGGAATCCTAAGCCAGGATAGTAACGTGAAGAGAGGCAGAGGAAGACCGAAGTTGACTTGGGTTGAGGCAATAAAAGGAGACTTGAAAGGATGGATTATACCTAAAGACTTAGTCTTTAGATAGGAGTACTTGGAAAACAGCTATTCATGTGTCTGAACCTTGATGGCTTCTACTGCGTTTCAACTCTAGCCTACCACAACTTGTTTGAGACTTAAAGGCTTTGTTGTTGTTGTTGTATACAAGAGAATTGCGCATCATTTCATTAAGAGAGAAAAAAGAGGAATAGTAGAAAGGAGGGAGAGGGACTCCCCTCCCCAAGGGAAACACTAGACCACAGCAACTAGCCTTCCACAGCTAACATAACCTGTGTGACTATGAGACACATGGCCAAAGAAACTAGTCTAGTACAGGCAAAGCGACAAAGAGCAGCAACAGAAACTTAGGAAAAATCAATCCACAACAAGCGACCCAACCAGAAGCTCCTGAAATCCTTTTGCACCAGCAGAGCACCATAGGATGCATTCATTTCTGATTGTCTGCAGTAATATGGTGATGCTTGGATTGGCACCATTAAAGACACTCATTCTTGTGCTTACAAATTTCCCAGGCCACAAGTGTATTAAGCCTTTTTTCATCTCCTTAGGTACGTCCTCGATTGCCCGGTGCCACCAACTTAAAAATTTGCTAGTAGAAACTGGACTGACATTTTTTTATCCTTGTTTAGAATTTGCTGCAAGAAATAAGCTTTGTAGGATGGCTCCTCCTCCCCACCACCTCCCCGACGCCTCCCCTCCCACCAGCCGCCCGCCGCTGCCTACTCCGGGCACGGCGGCCACCTTCACAACCCTTAGCCTGACCTCTCCTTCTCCTGTGGCGTCAGGAAGTCCTATCCCTACAGGTCGCTCCAAGCCCCAGCGATGGCTGGACGCTTCACCTTCCTCGAGTGACTCCGGCGGGGGCTCTTCTTCTTTCAAGGAGGTTCTTCTTCGTGGAACAGTCTCGGCAGTGCCTTCGCAGACTCCTGGTGCTGCTGTGGCCCAAGGAGTCTCGGCCACTGCCTCGCAGGTTGTTCTCCGTGCCCCACCCCGGGTCGTCCTTCAGCCGGTTGGCCGCCCGTTCCTGGTGCGGCGCCCCGACGCCGACGGCTGGTGGACAGCAGAAGGTCGTCGTTCTCGCTGGAATCGTCTTCGTCAGGCACGCCCGCCCCATCGATCGGTCCCTAGTGACCTCCGGGGCAGGTGCTTCAACTGCTTCTCACCAGGTCATCGGGCTGCTGGCTGCCGCTCGGCTCCTCGCTGTTTCCATTGCCGGGCAGTTGGTCATCGCTCTTACGTCTGCCGGCGCCGACCATCTGCTCCGCTCCCGGAGTCTTCCTTCGAGCCTCGGAGAGTTTGGCGGCCTGTGAAGCCCGTCATGGCGTCACCCCCTCCCCGTCGAGTCCTTGCCCGTCCACCAATGAGCCTGGCGAGGCTAGGGATCGGCTGGCGGCGGACGGCAGCGCCGAGCCGGGCGGCGGAGGCCACAGTGCAGGATGTGTC